AGCCAAAGAAACCATCAAGAGAGCAGGGAGACAGCCTACAGACTGGGAAAAAGTATTTGCCAACTCTAGGTCTGACAAAGGCTTAACATTATGGATCTACAAGGAACTGAAACGTACTGAAAAGAAGAAAACAAACAACCCCATTATAAAATGGGCAAAAGACATGAACAGACACTTCACAAAAGAAGACATCCGAGCAGCCAACAAACACATGAATAAATGCTCAACCTCACTAATCCTCAGGGAGATGTAAATCAAAACCACACTGAGATACCACCTAACTCCAGTCAGAAAGACAATTATCAACAACTCAAAAAATAACAGCTGCTGGAGAGGGTGTGGTGAAAAGGGAACACTTCTACACTGTTGGTGGGAGTGTAAACTAGTGCAACCTCTGTGGAAAGCAGTGTGGCGATTCTTAAAAGCTCTAAATATTGACCTTCCATATGACCCTGCAATCCCCCTACTGGGAATATACCCTGAAGAACTCAAATCACTCTATAAAAAAGATACCTGCACACGTATGTTTATCGCAGCGTTGTTCACAATAGCAAGAACCTGGAAACAACCATGCTGCCCATCAAAAGAGGACTGGATTAAAAAAATGTGGTACATATACACGATGGAATACTATGTAGCCATAAAAAAGAACAAAATCATGAATTTCGCAGTAACCTGGATGGAACTAGAGTCTATAATACTGAGTGACCTCTCACAGAAACAAAGATCCGAATATCACAAGTTCTCACTCATATAATGGACCTTGATCATCCAATGTAATACTATAAGAAAATGACTGATGGTACTGGGAAACTATGGGGGGAAGGGGAATGGGATTAACAGTAGCAAATATCTGTTGGGGGATGGGAAAACACCTCTTATCAACAGGGTGCCTGAATGAAACGTAATTGTACACCTAACCCTTAACTGTACCCCACAAAACCATAATAAAAAATACTGATTAATAAAAAAAAAGATATTGACTCTAACACTATCATAGCTGGGAACTTTAATACCCCACTAACAACCCTAGACAGATCATCAGGACAAAAAATCAGCAACAAGATTCAGAACCTCAATGTGACTCTTGTTCAAATGGACTTAATTGATACCTACAGAACACTCCACCCAACGACCACAGAATATACATTCTACTCATCACCGCATGGAACATACTCTAAGATCAACCACATACTTGACCATAAATCAAGCATAAACAAATTTCTTAATATCAAAATTTTGTCATGCACCTTCTTGGACCATAGTGGAATAAAAATAAACATCAACACCAACAAGGTTCCCCCCAAACCCCCAAAGACATGGACACTAAATAGCATGATGCTAAACAACTCCTGGGTCAATGATGAAATCAAAACAGAGATTAAAAGATACCTGGAAACAAATGAAAATGAAGAAACGTCTTACCAAAATCTCTGGGACTCCATGAAAGCTGTAGTAAGAGGGGAATTCATATCTCTACAAACAACATGAAGAAAATGGAAGGATCACAAATTAACATCCTAACAAATCACCTTAGGAAGCTGGGAAAGCAAGACCACCAAAACCTTAACTTCAGCAGAAGAATTCAGATCACCAAAATAAAAGCCCAAATCCGGGACATAGAAGACGAAAAGATAATACAAAAAAAAAAATCAATGAAACAAAAACCTGGTTCTTTGAAAGGATAAACAAGATTGATGGTCCCCTAGCTAGACTGACCAAGAAAAAACGAGAAAAAGCCCAAATAAATGCAGTCAGAAACACAAAAGATGAAGTCACATCTAACCCTGAAGAAATACAAAAGATCATTAGAGATTACTATGTACACTTGTATGGAAACAAACTTGAAAACCTTAAGGAAATGGAAGACTTTCTGACATCACAAAACCTGCTTAGTTTGAAACAAGATGAAATTGAGACCCAAAATAGACCAATAACAATCAAGGAAATTGACTATGTTATAAGAAAACTACCTACAAAAAAAAGCCCTGGACCAGATCACTTTCCAGGAGAATTCTATAAGACATTTAAGGAGGAGCTGATACCAATCCTACTGAAAGTATTCCAGGCAATTGAGAACGATGGAACCCTCACCAAATCGTTTTATGAAGCTAACCTCACATTGATACCCAAGCCAGGTAAAGACCCAACAAAGAAAGAGAACTACAGGCCAATATCTTTGATGAACATAGATGCTAAAATTCCCAACAAGATCCTAGCAAACTAGATTCAACAATACATCTCAAAAATCATCCATCATGACCAAGTAGGCTTCATCCCTGGGATGCAAGGCTGGTTCAACATTCGTAAAACCATAAATGTAATTAAATACATCAATAGATGTCAAAACAAAAACCACATGATTATATCATTAGATGCAGAAAAAGCTTTTGATAAAATCCAGCACCCCTTCTTAATATAAACCCTCGAAAATCTAGGCATACATGGAATATAACTCAAAACAGTAAAAGTCATCTACGAGAAATTCACAGCTAGCATATTCCTAAACAGATAAAACTGGAACCATTTCCCCTGAAAACTGGAACAAGACTAGGATGCCCACTCTCTCCCCTCCTGTTCAATATAGTATTGGAATTCCTGGCTAGAACAATCAGAAAAGAGAAGGTGATCAGGGGTATCCAAACAGGAAAAGAGAAAGTCAAGCTATTTCTCTTTGCAGACAACATGTTTGTGTACCTTGAAAACCCAAGAGAATCTGTCAAAAGCCTCCTTGCACTGATAAAGGACTTTGGATAAGTCTCAGGGTATCAAATAAATGTGCAAAAGACAATTGCATTTCTTTATACCAATAATAAACAAACAGAAACCCAAATAAAAAGCACAATCCCATTCACAATAGTCACAAAAAAATGAAATACCTTGGTATCTTCCTAACCAGAGACGTGAAAGACCTTTACAAAGAAAACTACAAAACACTGCTCAAAGAAATCAAAGATGACACAAACAAGTGGAAAAATATCCCATGCTCATGGATTGGAAGAATCAACATTGTGAAGATGTCCGTCTTACCTAAGGCAATCTACAGATTTAATGCAATACCCATCAAATTACCAACAACATTCTTCTCAGAGCTAGAAAAAACAATACAGGAATTCATATGGAACCATAAACGACCAGGAATCGCAGGAGGTATCACATTACCAGACTTCAAACTTGAGTATAAAACAGCTTGGTATTGGTACAGGAACAGGCATATAGACCGATGGAATAGAATTGAGATTCCAGAAGCAAAACCTCAATTTTTCAACCAGCTCATCTTTGACAAAGTCTTCACCACCGACCACTGGGGAGAGGAGAACCTAATCAGTAAATGGTGTTGGGAAAACTGGCTGACCACATGCAGAAGATTGAAACAGGATCCTTATCTATCCCCATACACAAAAATTAACTCCAAATGGATCAGAGACCTAAATGTAAAACCTTAGAAAATGAAGGACATACCCTCATGGAAATTGGAACTGGCATCCAATTCCTGAACAAAACCAGAAATGCGCAGGCCATAAGAGATAAGATAGACAAATTGGACCTCATTAAACTGACAAGCTTCTGCAAAGCCAAAGAAACCATCAAGAGAGCAGGGAGACAGCCCACAGACTGGGAAAAAGTATCTGCCAACTCCATGTCTGACAAAGGCCTAACATCTTGGATCTACAAGGAACTCAAACATGCTGAAAAGAAAAAAACAAACAACCTCATTACAAAGTGGGCAAAAGATACGAACAGACACTTCACAAAAGAAGACATACGAGCGGCCAACAGACACATGAAGAAATGTTCAACCTCACGAATCATCAAGGAGATGCAAATTAAAACTACACTGAGATACCACCTAACTTTAGTCAGAATGGCCATTATCAATAACTCAAAAAATAACAGTTGCTGGAGAGGATGTGGTGAAAAGGGAACACTTCTACACTGTTGATGGGAGTGTAAGCTAGTGCAACCTCTGTGGAAATCAGTGTGGCGATTCCTAAAAGCTCTAAGTATCGACCTCCCATATGACCCTGCAATCCCCCTACTGGGAATATACCCTGAAGAACTCAAATCACTATCAAAAAGATACCTGCACATGTATGTTTATTGCAGCATAGTTCACAATAGCAAGAACCTGGAAGCAACCATGCTGTCCATCAAAAGAGGACTGGATTAAAAAAATGTGGTACATATACACGATGGAATACTATGCAGTCATAAAAAAGAACAAAATCATGAATGTCGCAGCAACCTGGATTGAACTAGAGTCTATAATACTGAGTGATCTCTCACAGAAACAAAGACCTGAGTATCACATGTTCTCACTCATATAGTGGACCTTGAACATCTATCATAATACTATAAGAAAAGGATTGACAGTGGTGGGAAACTATGGGGGGGAGTAGGGAGGGGAAGGGAGGTGGGATTAATGGTAGTCAATATCTGTCTGGGGATGGGAGACACCCCTTATCCACAAGGGTGCCTGAATGATGCATATTTGTATACCTAACCCTCAACTGTACCCCACAATTTTTAAATAAAAAATATGTTAAAAAAAAAGAAAAAAAAGAAATGTAAATATTTCTTAAGCATAGAACTATATCTTTTGGAATGAGAATTTAGATTACATAAATACTGTAAGACACTTACAAGTTTTGAAGTTCTCTTTTTTTAAATAACTTTTTCTATTTTGGAGATATATATATATATATAGTATAATATATATCTATGACTACTACCTAATTCATGTTACTACCCATTTTGTTTGTAAGCATTTTCTATCTTTATTCCAGTGTCTAATCTTTGAACAAACAAACTGCAAGAAATATTTTTCTAAAAATGAAAGAAAGAAAAGAAAATACTTAAGATAAACCCGTGACCACATCCTCAGCTAGAATCCCTAGACCTAGACTCGGCGAGATATTTGTGACCAGGAACCTTATACTGATATTTTATTCTTGTGTCTTACTTTTCCATTAGAAATTTTTAAGATGTCTATCGCTGTGTTATCCTTGGATAAAGAACGAGAGCTCTTGAAGCCCAGCTAGGGGCAATACCTCCTCACAGAGATTCTGCACTAAACTGGATGACTGAAGCCCTACGGTTTGGATTCTCCCTCCTTGGGGACATGCGATTGAGATGGCTGTGAGGCCCAGAGAACAGTTCCTGCAACTTAATCTTTAGACTGTGACAGATGGAGAGCCATGCCCTTACTCCTTAGATGCTGTGGAATTTGCTGACAAAAAGGGTGTCTTATATCTTGTGTTTGGCAGATCCTTGGAATGTGTATCTTTCCTATATTAACCTGTGTGAGCAGCTGTCAACTTATTGAGGGGGGAAACTGTCCAGAAATTTGGGGGCATGTCAAGTACAGAGAACTTGTTATATTTACTTTGTTTTATGCAAGTATATCTGGTTTAAACAAAAGAATTCCAATAAAATATTCAAGAAAATTAAAAAAAAAGATAAACCCATAGGTTTGGGGAAGGGATGACTGTGAGCTGGGGGAAATGGTGACCAGTTGGGTGTCTCAATCAGAGAAGTTGAATGGAAATAAAAGGTGAGTTTTTTATAGACACATAAGAAGGGTATTGAATTGAGAGAAGACGGAAGAAGGAAGTATATCATTACTCTGTTTTGGCAACTTTGGGCCTTGCTTTCCCCATTGTGCTTATTCACATGTAATTTGGCACACAACAATAAAGCAAGCAATGACCTAACTCTAAGAAATGTGATTCTAAAATTGAAGACTCTCATAGTAAGAACAGTCTATTACTGGAAAACGTTGCTGTTTTTGTGACAACATGATCTGTATTCTAGTCTGACTTCAAGGTTGCAAGCAAAACATTGGGATACTTTGAAGCAGAAGCTCTCAACATGGGCTTTAAATGGAATCACTAGAGAGCTCATAAGAAATACTGATGCTTGGATCTACATCCCAGACCTACTAGATGGAAACCTCTGGGATGAGGCACTGGAAGTTTTTAAAAGGTGTCCAGGAGATTCTCTTGTGGTGCCAAGATTGATAACTACTATTTTAGTATCCAGTACTTAGCAATCTACATAGTCTGTTTCTTCTGAGATGTACTTTCTAATGGTCTTTTTCTCATTCAAATAATTCTTCCGCATATTGAGAGGGCATTATGATGTGATTCTCTGGGCTAAGAGAAGAGTCTCCTATCTTCCTCTCAGCTTCTGCACCACTTTAAAGCTGTATTAGACACATTGATGGCTAGTTGCTCCCCAGCCTGGATTTCATGCTATGGGCAGTGGCCTTGGGCTGTTTCTTAAGCAAGTAGTAGCTGCTGATTGCAATAGTTGGGGTGCTGTGTCTGAACATTAGTATTTTTGCCAAATTCATGTGTTGAAGTACTAACCCACAAGGTGATGATTTTGGGAGGTGATTTGGTCATGGGGGTGGAGCCTTCCTGAATGGGATTAGTGCTCTTACAAAATAGACTCTGGAGAGAAACCTCACCCCTTCCACCATGTGAGGACCCAGAGAAAAGTTGCTGTCAATGAATCAGAAAGCTGACCCTCACCAGACATTGAATCTGCTGGTACCTTGATCTTGGGCTTCCAGCCTCAAGAACTATGAGAAACAAATTCTGTTTTTATATGCTACTCAGTTGGTGGTATTTTGTTATAGCAGCGTGAAAGAACTAGACAAGGGGGCATCTGACTAAACCATTGACTGGAAAGAAATCACTTATGTGGACAGGTATGAAAATATCTGCCCATTAGAAGGATTATATTTAGCTAGGTCAAACTCTGTCCCCCTAGGATTTGAATGGTTGGTAAAGAGACTTGAAGAAGATAGGTGCTGGTTGAGTGGATAATATGTTATCCAGACAGTTAAAATCAGTTGGTTGGTAATGAGAAGCAATGGAGAAGATAGATGCTGAGTGGATGAGACAGCATCCAGAGCCATTTCAAACCCTGAATGATAGCTGTGCTTGAGTCCCCTAAGATTCCCTCACTGTCTCATGTGTCCTTAGAAGTGAGGTGTGTGAGGCAGCCTGAGCCTGAGCCTCACTGTCGTTGCACAGAGTCCATCACACACAGAGTAGGGGAGACCCCTGAAGTATACATTTCTCTGTAAACTTGCAAAGGGTATTAGGGGGTCTCTATCTTTCATGAGCTTTAAATGATCTACATAACAAGCCCCTCAGAGGGTCCCACCATAGATGCTTCCTGAGCATGCACTGACTGAAAAGGTTGAACTTACTGTGCGCTCGTTGGAGCTGACTGGGCTTAAAAACTCCTGTATTCTCCAGCCTCTGGAACAACCAATCATGCCTCACTCCCGCCAAGAGTTTTCCAAAGTCGTCAGGCTGCAAGGTGCGAGCCTCCAGGACCTCTTGCCTTGTCTTTCCTGGCAATGAAACCCAAGAGCTTCCGCTGGAATTCAGATAGGACCACAGGCTTTCCCCCTCAGAAGAACCGCTGGAAAAAGCAGGTGATTTCAACCACCACGCTGAGGATGAGCTGGAGTTCTGGCTGCAGTGGAGCATGCTCCCAGGTTCATTTCCTTCCTCTGTGGTGGTGCAGTCTTCGCTGAGGACAGCGAAAGGAATGTTACTGCTCACAGAGGAATTGGGGGTCTTGGCCTTCTGACCAGGCAGCTGCCTCAGGGCACATGATCTATGAGAGCCACACCCACTTGTGGAGTGAGCCTCCATGCTGTCCAGCATTTGGTGCAATTGCTCCTCCTCATCCACCGTGGAGGCGTCAGGGTCGATGTCCTGTTCTGTGATGGAGCCACGACCCTTTCCTGAGTCATGGTTTTCATTCCCGTGAGGAGTGAAAGAGCCACATGTCAGCATGGAACTGTTGCCCAGAGAATTCTCCATGACTACATGAGAGTCTAAGGGTGAGTCTTCTGTGCTTTCTGCTGTTTCTCCTTCTGGGTCAACCCAGGAGGAGATATCTTTAAACGTAGGGCCTGTGCCTCTTTCATTGATTTCTTCTCCCTTCTCTTCCCTATGCCTGGCTTTGGCATCATAGTTGGTTCCTTGAGACTCATCAGTTATTTCAAATATTTCCTCTTCTTGGACTAAAGGATATGTGGCCATATTTTTGAGTCTATTAGAATCAGAAGAAGACCAAGAAGCAGAATCACACGAGGTTGCGGAGTGAGCAAAAGTCTTTCTGGGTCCCATATTTCTGCCTTCCTGGATACTTTCCAGATCTCCTTCTAATAACCCTGCACCAGAGGCCAGGAAGGTACCTGTTGTGTTATGATGAGGGGAGGCCATCAAGGGCATGTTCTTGTGTAGCTGACTTTGAGAAGACTCTAAATTGCCATCCTCAGATACCTGGAGAGAGAGACTGTGAAGCTCTGAATGCCATGAATGTACAGCTCTGCCTTCCCTACTACTCTCCCACTTCTCACAAAAGGCAGTGGAACCCTGAGTGTCCACCGGATGTTCTTCTTTGCTAGGCTCTTTCCTGGCTGACCTATTGTCAATATGATGATTCACTTCCTCCCAGCTTGTAGAAGAACTGAACCCTGATAACTTGCTCCAAGAACTGGAGCTCTGGCTGTCACTCAGAGACTTGTTCAAAACAGCTCCTACGCCATTGCTGTGGTCTGGTGGCTCAGTCGCCGTCTCCACATCTTGATCCAGGGAGACTCGAAATGCATCAGAATGGGCCCAGTTTCTCCCTCCTGCCCTTCTGAGTTTCTCCTGACTACACTTAGCCATTTGAGAGGAAGATGTTCCTGCGCCTTTTTGACAGCATGGTTTGTCTTGAGTAGTAGTCATAGTATCTAAGTTTTTTGTTTCTGTTTTTAGAGCAGTGATACAGACTCCTGTTTTTGCATCTTTCTGTTTATTTTTGCTGTTTTCACAAGTGGTTTCAAATACCTCACACACTGAAGTATGGTGCTGTGAATAGGTTTCAAGGATTTTTTTGAAATCCACTTTCTCACACAAGATGGGCTTATCTAATCCGCTCTTAAAACTCTCTGGAACATAAGATCTGTCATCTAAATTTGAGAAGCTTTGAACTTGTAAATGACACTTCACCTGGGCGATCACAGACATGATTTCCTGAGACAGAGCTTCTCTGTCCTGACTTCTGGAGGAAGTAGTGAAAGTGTACAGCTTCTCCATGGCTTCCTTACAGAGCTGACTCACTGCACACACTGTCCCTGTGTCCCCATGCAGTCTTCTATGCACTGTGGTGAGACCGAAAGCAGCTTTGACAAAACTGTGAAGCTCCTGTTTCCCAGTGACGGGTTCATCATCTCTCTTGGTGAGGAGGCCAATTTCAAAGGCCTCTTTGGCTTCACACAGATATGAATTTTTCATTCCTCGAGGACAATCATTAGAGCTACTATATGACAACAAGCATGTGCCACGAATATTCTGGGGAAAATACCAAATACAAACTCAGATATTGAATTGGAAGCTGGAAGCGAATCAGAACATACTTTTCATTCCTGGAGAACAGTCATTTGAAATATAAGAAAATAAACACATGCCATGGATATTCTAAGAAAAATACACAATTAAACATTGAGTTAAGGGTCTGAGGTCCTTGGGGAATCAGCAGAAGGGACTGGGATGTCAGTGATGACTGGTATGAAATGGTAAAAAATTTGCTTCAACTTCCATTCTATTATATCCCTGATGCTTTTTGATGAAAGATGATAGATTTCTGGTGGTTGTTGCTATTGTTAGGTTTAGTGGTGTCAACACACGGAAATGTACTTAATGTTTCTCTATGCAAATAGGGTTGCTATATATGAACATATCATTCATTTAACAGTAAAAATTCCAAATCCATCTGTGCATTTGAATCCCCTGGGCAATATCTCAAAATTAAAGATTTCTGGGTACCAGTCCCAGAGATTTGCATTTAATGGATCAAGAGTAGGGCCCAGGGAATATGTATTTTGAAAAGGCTCCTTGGGTGACTGTGCAGCCAGGCATGGGAACCATTGTTGTGGAATGACAGCATTCTATTTTGGGCTGAACTGACTTAGCTCCCACCGGGATGTCACCACTCTGACACATAGCACTTTTACATATGTGGAGTCTTATCACCTTATACTTTAAGGTTAGGCCTTTCCCTCCCACTGGTGACATCAGTGAGCACCCATGGGTGAGGGGCTGCACCCTGTTTACCACAGCTGTGAGCACGAAGAGGGGTGTGTAGGCGCTGAAGGCAGCTGCTAGCTTGCAGGCTTCTGCGGCAGACGGCAAATGGTGGTCAGACTCCTTCAGCAGGGTCTGCGAGAGAACAGGAGGCAAAGAGGGATGGTGGTGATTCATCATTGACGAGCAAAAACAGGCCATGAAATTTCTCTGCTTTTTTAAATTTTATTTTATCTTTTGGTAGTAGAGACGAGGTCTCACTATGTTGCCTAGGCTGATCTAGAACTTCTGGGCTCCAGCAATGCTCCCACCTCAGCCTTCCAAAGTGCAGGGATTACAGGCATAAACACCTGGTCTCCTTTGCTTTTCCTTTCAAGATCTCAAGGGACTCCTCACGCCTCGTCCCAACTCATTCAGAACAACATCAAGAGTAAGTGGGACTAAAGACCACAGGGTGTTGTTGACTGTTCCCTTCCCCAGCTTCCATACGCCCTCCATCCTTCACACACACCCCAGTGAGGGCCTAATATGTGCAAAATTTTATAATGCCTACCTGTGAAAAATAATTCAGGTGAGCTTTGAAGGATGATGGCAGTTCTTTGACCACGGGAACTCTGAACATTTTGCGGTCAGATTAATTAATGACTTCTGCACTGCTCTTGGCAAAATGCCCTTTAATTTATGATTTCACAGCAATTAGAATTCCTTCACTCACTCATTCTAGAAATATGCTTTGAGTACCTTCACATGCCAGGTACTGTTCCAGACACAGGGGAGACAGCGGACAGTGAGCCCGCAATGAGGTTACTTTCTGTTGAGGAGGAATCAGTCAATATGCAAAATAAGTAACATGCATAGTATTTGGGATGATTATAAGTGTTCTGGAAATAAATTAAGTGGAGAAGGGATGAGAGAGGTTGGGGCAAAGAAATCTGCAACTTTAAAAAGTCATCAGGGGCCGGGTTTGGTGGCTCGGCCTGTAATCCCACACCTTTGGGAGGCTGAGGTGAGTGGATTGCCTGAGCCTGCAGGTTCGAGACCCGCCTGGGCAGCGAGACCTCATCTCTACCATAAATCAAAAAATCAGCCGGGCATGGTAGCGCGCGTGTGTAGTTCCGGCTACTTGGAAGGCTGAGGCGGAAGGATCGCCGGAGCCCAGCAGGTCGAGGCTGCGGTGGCCGGGAGCAGCCACTGCGCTCCAGTCTGGGCGACAGAGTGAGACTCCAACTCAAAAAAAAAAAACCTCATCAGGGACAACTTAGGCGAACAAAGGACATGATTGTCTTTTTGTTTTGGTTGGACATAAAAAGCATCTTACATTCAGATGACTAGGAACAAGCTGTATGTGGTCTTTTGTGACACTAACTTGTATTGAATATGGTTATTGCTGCCATTTGAGACTTTAATAAAAATGGTAAAATAGATGATAGTCCTCAATTTTAGCACAGCACGGAAAGCATTTGAACGTGTTTACCAATTATCTGGGCTGGTCAGGGGCATGAGTTCTGCTCCCAGTTCTCTCTCTTACTGGTTGTGTAAAGTACAGAAGCTATTTAGTTTCTTTGCACCACATTTTATTATTCTCTAAAATGGGGATGATACGGTTTGCTCTATCTACCTCAGATGGTCTTATGTGGATATATGCACATTTTTTGAATCTGAATTTTATTGTATTTTGTTATTTTAAAAAATCTTTATTTCAACAGCTTTAGGGGTACTAATGTTTTTAGGTTACTTGGATGCATTGTATAATGGTGAAGAAGTCTGGGCTTTAAATGGATCCATCACTCTCAGTAGCTATGCACATTTTTTTGAGTTGTAAAGTGATATGTAAATCTTATTAGTCATTATCATCAGGAGTAAGAGCATGGAACAAATTACTGATGCTCTGACTTGAATAGATGGTGAGTAAAGTTTAAAAATTATGACCTTTATCATCTAGAAGGCCCAAATTGGGAAACTGAATTTTATGACAAGTTGAAAGGACATGCAGGGCTCAAAATCACTCTGTTGATACTCATTCATTCATTCGCCAGTAACATTTTGAGTACCCTCTCTGAGTTGGGTATTGTGATAGGTGCTCAAATAATAAAAAAAATCCAATGCTTCTCAATTTCTTGAATAAAACCAAATAGGACACCCTAGGAATTCCTAGGATCATTCCTGGAATTACTCACTTTAGTCTAAAAGAAGAGACACTGTGCTCCCTGTCTCCCAGTCTCCTAAGAGATTAACTAACCAACCATCAGGAATAGTGTTGACCGTTTTTAGGTGATGCCACTCTGCACCATGTTTTTGACACATGATAATTACCAGGTTAATCTGTGGATGGTTTTTAAACTTCTCATAATCTTTCTTGCTCATGGAAACAAAGATGTCTGCCAGTATACCCAGTGACGTGGAAATGCCCTGCGGGGAAAACACAAACAATCACAGAATGGGAATTCACGGTGGGTTATTGTTCCTGACTCTTGGCCTAAACGCAATGATTTTCCCTGCATATGAACCATATGCCTATCATTTTTATACTATGACAGTGGAAATACTTTTTAAAAATTGATACACAATTATTTATGGGGCACAGTGCAATGTTTCAATACACGTATACATTGTGTAATGATCATACCCTATTTGAAGATACTTTTAAACTGGATATCACAGGACTTGAGAGATCATCACACCCTGGGGCACATGGACCTAATGTAAACACAGCTATTTCTTAGTTGGGATTCACCAGATCATCAACACTAACTTGTTTATACTGCTAGGCCTGAATAATTGGCTCAAGGAAACGTTTTTTGCATCACGTTCTAACCATGTTGCCACTCTGCTCATACAGCTCAGGAAAATGTAGTAACCTGATGCTTCAGATACAAGGAGAGTATTCCCACAGAATTTCAGAGAATGGAAATGTCAAGTTAAAAAGCCAGTGCTTCTCAGTATCTTGAATAAAAGTGCGACATATATAAACAATTAAAGTCTTTGCCCACTCCACTGGAGAAAAATGATTTTACATATAAGCAACCTAGCCATCTTGACTTTATTGTGAAATCAGAGGCTAGCTATATAATATAATAGATAGAAGAATGAACCAGTGGAGATAACTATATATATACATACACAACTATGAATGGTTATAGAAACACTATACAGTATATATGCCAAGACTCTAGCTGTGAGTGAGGACAAAGCAAGACACAGAAGGAACTTACTAAATGTTCGGGGTCCTAGGATCATGAAGAATAAATAAATAAATAGGATCAATGAAACTGATACATGATAAACGGAATTGTGCCATAAAGAGATAATCGCCCAAAAACAAACCCAGGAAAGGAGAAAGAAAGCACAGACAAACAACCTTTTTATCTGGTTGAGGAAGTGTCAGATATCCTACGATTGAGGCCCATATTAATTCTGCTGCTTCATACCACATTCCTGAAAAAAAAAAAAAGGGAGACAGAAACAGGGAGAAACAGCTAGTATCTGTGCTCTTAAGTTAGAAAATGCCTTTGGAAACTAATATAGAAAGAAGATTCATTTGATCCTGTTAGGAGAACTCAGGGTTGGATTAGACTGACAGAGTAACCTGTTTTTTCAGTTGTTTTAATACAGATCATTTTTCTATTTCACTGAAAACAGTAGAATTATTGTATATAATATATACTAATGTATATTATATGCAAATAGTTTTCTCAATTATTTACAGGAATAATAATTGCATCTCCTGTTAAAATTTTTCAAACCCTCTAGTTTGCACTTTAAAGTATAATTAAAGTTCTATAAACTTGAAAAATTCGTGAGTACCCCAAGGAATGAACAAGTAAGATGCCATGGTGGGTTCAGAATAATGTGTCACTATATCACATGGAGTGCTGCCAAACTGAGTCAGATGATAGAAATAATACTGAGAACCCTACAGTTAAAGCCACAATATACAACTGTAGATTTCTCCAACAAACTCAATTAAAATATTTTATTTTATTAAAATTCATGACAGTCCTAGGATCTTTTTTACTTAATTTGTTTATTTTTTTTGTAGAGACGAGATTTCACTATGTTGCCTAGGCTGGTCTTAAACTCCTGTGCTCAACAATCCTCCCACCTTGGTCTCCCAAAGTGCTGGGATTACAGGTATGAGCTATTGGCCTAGTCCTTGGATTCTAAATGTCATTCTCTTTTCCATGAGAAAACTAAGGCAGGTGAAGATTAACAATTCTAGCCAGATACAATAAGAAAATGCCACAGAAGGATTTTGCAGCCCAGTCCTTGTAAACGAGCATTGAGAGAAACAAATGTTGGATGACAGTACCTAGCTTCTGCAGAATCTGCCCTCTGATCTGTATACAGACTGACTGCACCAGGACCTTGTCACTTTCATTTCTGTAGAGCCAGGAACCTAAAATGAAAGAGGAAAAAACTTTTGAGTTATTAACAAAATAGCCCAGTAAGGTGGAACTATTTTTATAAAAGCCTTCGTGAGCACAGGTGATGTCAATTTGAGAGACAATCTCATCTCTACGTTTAGAATAAGGTTCAAATACCTTGCTGTAGCTTAAGGTCAGCAGCAGGAACTGTTGACTGTGTGGTCTCCACCTCTCCCTCAGCCAGCTTTCACTCTGGTGTCACCTGTGTTCCTTCTATGGATAGTGGTCTCCATGGCATTTGCACTTACTGCTAGCCCTGTCTGAAATCCTCATTCCTCTGGCTCCTTCTTCTGCTCCTTCTCCTGCCAACCTCAAAGCTATTGCTTCAAAGTCCTCCCCAGATTAATACATCTACAGAATTCCCCACTGTCTTGTGTGCTGGATCAATCCCAACTGCCCCAAATTGATTTGATTGTCAAAACTGATGATTCCACACATGCACCAAGAGGGTATGACAAGATTTATTGCTCATATGATGAGACTTGCTAGGGAGAGCAGGGCAGGTACCCACATTGGTTCTTTTGACTCTGGAGAGAAGTTGTGTGTAGCTTTGGTTTTCACTGTGGTTAAGGTGTAGGGTTGGGTAAAGGTTCTGGTAAGCCGGGCTTCGGTTTGTGGATAAGTTTTTTTGTTTTGTTTTGTTTTTTTAAATCAGCTTGTCCAGTGTGGGGCAAAAAGCTGAGCCTAAAAGCTGCCAGTGGCCAAACATCAAAAATAGTCAGACTCTTTATTACATCTGCTTATTATTCTCTGACACATCACCCTCTTTAATTTCCTCTTAGCTTTTAATCTCTCTCTGTGTGTGTTTGTGTGTGTGTGTGTGTGTGTGTGTGTGTGTGTGTTTGTGTCTGTGTGTGGGAGTAGAGTGCAGAAGATGGCAAGTATGCATATTGTGGTTTAATGATGGTGGCCTCAAGTGAGAGGTGTGTGGTGAATATTTGTATTCCAAAATATTTCCTGACTGGAAATGGTCACAAGTTTCAAGGAACTTGGGAACTTATATCCAATCACATCGGGTTTAAAAGTCCATTCAAAATTTTGCTTAACATATTGGGAAACTCGTTGACATAAATGCCCAGAAATTCAGTCAAGATATGTGATGGCACAAATTGTTACCTAACTATTAGAACTTGCTTTTTTCATGCATGATTAAATATTGAGAGAAAACTTATTTCAAAATGAGCTATTATTAAAGTTCTTGTGTAGCAAAATCAAATTGATTTTTCAAATCATTTAAATACCTAAAGCTCTAGGCATACTCTTCTGAATTTACAGGCTTTTATTTTCAATTGCAATTCTTTTTTTAAACTTAAAAAAAAATGCAATAGTTTTAGGGGGTTCTTTTAAAGACCACTACAGAGCCCTTTTTCGAGGCACATAGTTACCCACCTTGACAGTTATTGTCCATCAGATCACACACTCTGTAATGAAGCAGGAAAACAGACCCCATGTTGTTGTTTTGTTTTTGAAATTTGAGAAAACAGAGACTCAGGGAAGTAGCTGGTTCAAAGCCACTTCATTCATCAGTGGCACAACCAGTGCCAGATAGTTCTGGGAGCACCTAACATATAGTTGCTACTAAGTTATTGAATTGTTATTAAATTAGAATTCTGGTAGGGACTGAGAGCAAAGGATGTTGTGAACATGTGAAAGTACCCACCTGTTGCTCCACTGTTGCTTATGAGACTGCTCAGGATATACTCTGCTTTTAAAAGTTTCCCTGAAAAGAAGCGACAAAATGCCACACAATTAGTTCTGAACATGTTACTTTAAGTATGACAAGGGGTTCATGCTCAAAGATTGATATATTGTATCAGGACTCATAATCTCTCTAGAAAACATTCTATTTTAAAGTTTAAAATCAATAACTATATTACATATAAAGCTGAAGAAGAAAGATGAAGTTTTCAGGAGTTAGTAAGGTGGGAAATTGTACAGTATTTGAAGTGGCAGTTAGATTCAAGTGTATTTTAATAATTCATTCATATAGAGAGGGCTTGAGTAACATAGGTGAACTTTTGTATAAGGCCGTGTCTCCTCTCTGTGAAAGCTATACCTAAAGAAGTGTAAAGGAATCGCCATAAATAGGGCTATTTATATAATTATCCAGAAGGGATTCGGTTGTGGGGAGATTCTTTCTAAACTTTGCCCTTGTTTTGGTTACCGCTGACTAGGAAAGGCCTAATCTACGGACAATCCACAGGTAGGAAATTCAGTCTTTTGTCCTTTAACCAACCATTCCTTCCCCCAGGTGTCTCTAAGCCCTACACTATCTGGCTCCTGTGACTTCTTTGACCTCATCTCTAACTACGCTTTCCCTTCCTGTCAGGTCTCTACTTCAGTCACAGTGGCCTTCTTACTGTCCCTTGAACCTGCCAGGCTTGTCGCCACATCAGAGTTTTCATACTTACGATTATTTTTGTCTATCATGCATTTATCCCAAAGATCTCCAAAGCTTGCTCTCCTTTACTTCAGGTCTTTACTCAAATGTCACTGTCTCCTAAGGTCTTCCCTGACCATCCTATTTTAAATTATGCACTTAGACATACACCCTGGCTGTGGTAAGATTGTGTTTCCAAAAAAGGCCTCACGAAAATCTTCCACCCACATGGTCTTTTGCAATGTTACCTACCATTTGTCCTTTGAGAAAGAGAGTCTAGAGTTTCTTTGCCCTGTTCTTGAACATAAACTCATCTTGTGACCTATTTTGACCAGTGGATTGTGGCAGAAGTGACACCAGTGTCTCTCTAGTCTGGGCACCAGGAGTTCTTTAACTTTACCTTCATTTCTTGGAGCACACCCCAATGCCATGAGGAAGTGACGCAGCCACATGGAGAAGCATGCGGAACAGGACCGAGGCTCTCACCTGAGGCCTCAGCTAAGCTCTTAACTGGCAGCTAGTGCCAAATGTCTACTATGTGAATGAGACCATTTTGGACCTTCAGCTGTCCCAGATTCCAGTGGACTCTATTTAAAATAATTACCCCAACTACAAAATTATGGGACAGTTACTATTGTTTTAAGCCACTAAGTCATGAAGTGGCTTGTAATATAGCAATACATAACAGAAATTGATCTTAAAAGTGGGAGTACTAATGTAACAAAAACTTAGAGACTTAAAGGATGTTGAGGAGACAAAAGAAGCTTGAGGAAAGGAACACACATTATATAGTGGTGTAAAGTTTGACAACATGATATCCAGAGGTAATGTGGAATATAGAAAATGTAGCTGATGAACTTGCATATCTGGCTAAGGAGGACCCAGGAAGGATATTGGAAGTGCCAAAATACATCTTGTAGCAACCTGGGATAAAATACAAGAAGGAAGAGATAAATAAAGAAGGAATTGCAGTAGTCCCCACCGTCTACAGTTTCTCCTTCTGCAGTTTCAGTTACCTGCAGTCAATTGCAGTCCAAAAATATTAAATGAAAAATTCTAGAAATAAACAATTCGCAAGTTTTAAATTGTGTGCCATTCTGAGTAGTGCCATGAAATCTCATTCCACCTGAGATATGAGTTGTCCCTTTGTCCAGCAGATCCTCTCTGTCTACACTGTCCATCCATTAGTCACTTAGTAGCCCTCTTGGTTATCAGGTCAACTGTTAGGTATTGCAGTGATGGTGTGCAAGTCACCCTTATTTTATGTAATAATGGCTCCAAAGAACAAGAGTAGTGGTGCTGGCAATTCGGATATGCCAAAGAAAAGCTGTGAAATGCTTCCTTTAAGTGAAAAGGTGAAAGTTCTTTACTTAATAACAAAATTAAAAAACAAATCATATGCTGAGGTTGCTAAGATATATTGTGAAGATGTATCTTTTATCCAACAGTGGTAAAGGAGAAAGAAATGTGTGCTAGTTTTGCTGTCACACCTCAAGGTAGAAAAGTAACAATCACAGTGATTAATTAAGTGTTTAATTTAGATGGAAAAGTTGTTAAGTTTGTGGGTGGAAGACTTGAACCTACATGTTCCAACTGATGACAATTGAATTTGGTACTATATTGGTTTTAGGCATCTACTGAGGTACTGAGACGTATCCCCTGTGAATAAGAAGGGGCTATGGTAATTTATTTTAAATCAGGATTTAGAGAAAACATGAAAGCCCCAGAATAGGTTTTTTTAAAATTTTAAAGATGTGGGGTACAATACAAATGTTCACTTTGCAGGTTCACTTTGTTGATGAAGTGTTCCCCAGCCCCAAGCAGTTTTCCCACTACTGACAATCCTTTTCTTATAGTATTACAATAATTGTTCAAGGTCCACTTATGAGTGAAAACTTGTGATACTTGGTTCTTTGTTTCTGTGATAGATCACGCAGCATTACAGCCTCTGAATCTTTCTACCTGAGATGTGAGTTGTCCCTGTGGATTGCTGTGAAGTTTATAATTTTGTCCTTCTTTATGGCTGCGTAATAGTCCATCATGTATAGGTACCACATTAAAAAAATCTGGTCCTCTTTTGATGGGCAGCACGGCTGATTCCATATTTCTGCTATCGTGAACAATGCTGCGATAAACATGCATGTGAGGTATCTTTTTCATAGACTGATTTGAGTTCCTCCGGGTAAATTCCCAGTAGGGGGACTGCGGGGTCGTATGGAAGGTTGAGTTTTAGATCTTTTAGGAATTGCCACACTGTTTTCCACAGAGGTTGTATTAGTTTACACTCCCACCAACAGTGCAGAAGTGTTCCCTTTTCCCAGCATCCTCTCCAGCATCTGTTGTTTTTTGAGTTATTGATGATGGCCATCCTGACTGAAGTTAAGTGGTATAGAATATTTTTACAGCCAGCAAGACATTCCAAAAATAAATTAAAACTCGGGGAAAAAGATCAATTTCAGGGCATTGGCAGTAAAATGAGTTCTGAGGGTCACGATCAAATCAAGGGTATGGCTGTCACTTGTCTTTTAGTTTACAAGTCTTGGTGAGAAGCAGAAGCAGCACTTGAGGAGACTTATTTGTCCCTACACCTGATTCAGAGGATGAGATCCTAAACTTTGAGCTGAATGCCTTCAAAGCACGAGGGTCTGAGGGAGGAGTAAGTGCATTTTGGATGTGAGAAGGATTGCGAATTGTTGTGGCCAGAACATGAACTGGGATCACATTGTTTTAGGAATCTAAGTTTTGGGAGTGGTTCGTTGTGAAGCAAAGGATAACCAAAGCACTAGTATCCTCTGCTCCCTCATCTTCTCTGCTTTATTTTTCTCTTTGGCATTTATTGCTGTAAGACGCAGTATAATTTTAATTATTTGTTTATTGCCTATCTTCCCAATAGAAATGTAAAAACCAAGACAGCAGCAGGTTTTATCCATTTTGTTCACTCCTCTGTCCTACGTGCCTCTAACAGAGCAGATGCTCAATAAATATTTGTCATTCGTTCAAACAAATGTTTGAATTGTCCCGGGATGTGCTAAGAGCTGGAGACTGAATGTTGAACAAGACAGAGTCCCTATCTTCAAGGTAATAAGAAAAACAAGAACCAGCATTCATTGTGTGTACTATGTGGTGGACGTTGTTCTAAATTATACATATATATAAATTATGTACTCTATTATCTTCATTTCACAGATGAGGAAATGGACTCTACAGAGGTTAAATAGCATCATCAAAAGATATGCAATTCCTCAAGGCAGCCGGCCACGAAAGTCCAAACGCTCGCCTATATTAAACTGCTACCAGTGTGACCAGTATTTCAGATTAATTGCACAACATGATATTTTTGTATATTACGGACTGTTTTTAGCCATGCAGGGTATAATTTTCTTTGCTTGTACTCTTTTTCTGTCTTCAAGAAAAGAACATGCAGCACAAAGTAATCTTTTTGCAGTTTTTAGAGTTTCCTACCTTCTCTTTTCCTTTACCGATTTTTAAAAAAAGTTTCCACCCCTCCTCCCTCCCTTCCTCTCTCCTTCCCTTCCTCCTTCTCTATTTTGAAACCTCATTATTTTACTATCTTTTAAAATTTATTTATGAGTCTATCTCCTCCCCTAACTTGAACCACTTGTAGGTAATAGACCTTGATCGTTTTCATAACTATCCTAAGGCCTAATGCAATTCTTAGCATATAGCAGCCTTTCAACACATATTTGTCAAAAAAAGAAGAAAAGAATAACAAAAAAAAGGAAAAATAAAATAAAAAACCCAGAATTTTACATTATGATTTAGGGGCTGATAAAATTTATTCATACTAATGTATTTAGAAGGAGAGAAATAAAATGAAATACCTGAATGACTGAATTTTATTAAAGCAACCGCTCTTCTTAAAAGTTATATTTTAAAAAAGTTAGATTTTCTAATTTGATTGTTGTCAACATATAAGAATGGGCATTTAAAAATATTACCCTTGTGGGATTGGCAGTAGTGGGAATTTGCCAGGGGAGGGAGGCACACAACTCATCAACAAGGGTATCTGCATAATGAACATTTGTATACCTAACCCTGAATTGTACCCCACCTCTTTAAAAAAAAATATTGCCCTTATTCAACTCTTAATTCCACTAACTAATCTGTGGATTTCTTGGAGTATTCTATGTGGGCAATTGGATTGCTTACAGATAATGATAATTGCATTGATTTACTTCTAATCTTTGTACCTTTTATTTCTTTTTCATATCTTATTGCTTTGGGAGGACTTCAGGGTCAGTATCAAATAGGAGTGATAATAAAGTGTATTTTTTTCTCGACCTGACTTTAAAAGGAATCTTTACAATTTTTCATTATTA